ACATCAATGATTTCTAAAGCAACAGTAACTTAAAAAAAAAATAAGGATTTCCCAGCGTCAGCAGGAAGAAAGAACCTGAAGAGTGGAGGTGATGACATCATGGGAACTGGGATAGGTAAGGCAGAGCTTATCTATCATTTCATGAAGAAATGTCTATTCAGGAGAGTCCAGTGAACTTGGCCACTGGAAGTAGCTTTATTGGAGTTGGCTCTGCTGAAAGGTGGATGATAAGGTCTTGGAAGTAGGAAGGTGGGTTATGAGTTCATTGGTATCCATTTCATTATCCATAAGGTACAGTTGTCCCATATTCCAAAGTCTCCCTTGTATGTGTATATGCATGTGTGATTTTCAGCAAAATATGATTAATAGTTTTTTAAAACTGTAAGAAAAAGTGGCCACTGATATGAAACAGAGAAATAAAAAAAGGCTGAAGGAAAGACCAGGGTTGTTCAACCTAAGGGAAGAAGCCAAGGAGGAAGAAAAATTAAAGTTAAACAGTTATTTTCAAAGACATAATACAGAAGAGTTGACTGTTGTTAGAAAGTTAGAACTAGCTTCTTTAGGTACAGATTTTAGTATGTTTATCCTATATTATGTGGCTAATAACTACTTATAAGTGAGTATATACCATGTGTGTCTCTGCTTCTGGGTTACCTTGTTCAGGATGACCTTTTCTAGTTCCCACCATTTGCCTGCAAATTTCATGATTTCCTTATTTTTAATAGCTGAGTAGCATTCCCTTGTGTAAATGTACCACAACTTCTGTATGCATTCCTCAGTTAAGGGACATCTAGGTTGTTTCGAGATTCTGGCTATTAAAAATAAAGCTGCTATGAACATAGTTGAGCAAATGTCCTTATTGAATGGTGGGACATTGCCAAAGCCTTCCAGCAGAGTCAAACAGTTCTTGAATGAGGAGTGAGGACTGAAATAAAATAAAAAACTAACACACTACACATGGGATCTGTTTGAGAGGGCTGCCAGTAGAAACTGCTGAACCACATTTATTCCACAATCCCTTTTTATAGTCTCTCAGTACAATGAAGGGGTTCATGGAGAAGTCAAACTTGTTTACCTCAGCCACCTGTCTGTGTGATCCTCACACAAACAAAAGGAAGTGAACTTGGCAAAACATCCTGCCTATTCCTGTCTCCAGGTGAAGGCCAGGGTGAAAACATGTTTTTTGCTGAGAACTCAGGAGTGGAATAGCTGGATCTTGAGGTAGCACTATTCCTAATTGTCTGAGAAAGTGCCAGATTGATTTCCAAAGTGGTTGTACAAGGTTACATTCCCACCAGCAATGGAGGAGGGTTTCCCTTTCTCCACAACCTCTCTAGCATATGTCATCCCTTGAATTTTTTTATCTTAACTGTTCTGATGGGTTCAAGGTGGAACCTAGAGAAGAGGCTGAAACCTTACTCAGAAGGGCAAACAGGATAGACATCAGAAGTAAGAGAAAACAAGGAACAGGACAGGTGCCTTCCACAGAGGACCTCTGAAAGACTCTACCCAGCAGGATATCGAAGCAGATGCTGAAACTCTTAGCCAAACTTTGGGCAGAATGCCGGAAACATTATGGAAGAAGAGGGAGATAGAAAGACCTGGAGGGGACAGGAACTCTACAAGGAGGCCCACAGAGCCAGAAAATCCAGACCCAGGGGGTCCTGCAGAGACCAATACTCCAACCAAAGACCACGCATGGAGAGGACCTAGACCTCCTGCTCAGAGGAAGTTCATAGGTTGCCCATATTTCAAGTGGGTTCCCTAGTAAAGAGGATCAGGGGCTGTCTCTAACATGAACTCAGTGGCCAGCTCTTTGTTCACCTCCCCCTGATGGGGGGCAGCCTTGCCAGGCCACAGAGGAAGATGATGCAGCCAGCCTTGATGAGATCTGATAAGCTAGGGTCAGATAGAAGGGGAGGAGGTCCTGCCCTATCAGGGGACTACAGAAGGGTCATAGGGGGAGGAGGAGGAGGGTGGGTGGAATTAGGAGGACCTGAGGGAGGGGGCTACAGCGGGGATACAAAGTGAATAAATTGTAATAAATAAATTAATTAATTAAAAAAACAAAGTAAGAACTAAAAGGGTTCAAGGAGGATCATGGAGCATAGGAGCATCATCCAAAGAGCATGGAAGAGAGGACGGACTAGAGCCGGGCAGAGACTGTTGTAGGCAGCTGGAGGTCCAGGACTTAGGAAATCAGCATCTCAGGTTTGTATTGTCACAGACTAAACGCCTTCTCCTTAGCTGCTACTCAGTTTAGAGAAACAGGGATGAAGGTTTAATTCAAAGGTTGCAGGGGACCTAAGAGTGAGTCACATCTTTTAGGAGGATCTTAGAGAAGTCAGTGCAGTGGAAGTTTTAGTTTCTTTAAAAACTCAGTTATGTTATGCAAGTATGTTTGTGTCTTAATTCCAGGTGTGGGATATGGGGCTGCCTTAGTTTGTCCACAGCTGATAATTGCCTCATATGTGGCATGGTCCTTGCCAGCTGGTAACAGCCTCGTGCAACTGGAGAGGGCCATGGTCTTTGCCAGCAGCAGATTGTAGAACTCTGAGGACTCTGAGACAGTATAAATACGGGAGCCCAGAGAGAGAAAGAAGAAGGCTGCTTGTCCATCCTGCTGCTGTGTTTGTTGTTTGCTGTTGCTGGACTGCTAGGTATCCTGACAACTGAGATTGGTATTTTCCCAAAGAACCCGACGACCCTAACCAGCCAGAACAACGTCTAAAGAGGTCTACATCCCCTCTTCCTCCTAACCTTCCTTCTCTCCTACCTAGGGTTGGTGGGTAGAGGCATTAAGGAACACCAAATAAAACAGAGTTTAAAAAGTAGCACCCACAGTCAGCTAAGAAAAATTGATTGTGCTGACAGAGTAGACTGGAGAGAAGATATACATACTGAGAGAAGAGATATGCTGAGTTACTTTGTAACTCATAGACGGAGCCCTGTGTCTGCCCACAGGAACTCTTCAGACGGCCCTCTGTAGGGAATGAGTGAGTGGCCAGGGCTCAGGGCACAAGCACCAGGAGGACGCCGTTCCCACCTTAGGGATCACAGGTTGGTACTCTCTTAAAGCTTGTTTGCCAGCCCTGTCTTGAATAAACTGTGCAGTAAACTCATCTCCGAAGGTGTCACTTGTGGCAAGTTATTTGTAGGTCATGTCCTTAAGAAAGTTGAGTCATTTGTAGTTCACTAACCTCCATGGCACACATAGCTCACCTCTGGGGTTTTACAGCCGTCAGACACAAACATGTACGTCCATGACATGCTGGTATATAAACAGAGCACGCAGTACCTGGTGAAAAGTTGACGTGGCCATGCCGGGGGGGGGTGTGCACAAGTCCGATGACCATCCTGAGTAATGAGTGTATATTGTGTTTATCTATTTGGACTCCTCAAGATTTACACAGCCTAAACTGTTGAATGAAAAACTGATTGCAGAGAAAGCTACCGAGTAATTAGGACGGCCCTAGGGACACATCAGACAGTTGATAATGGAGAAGGAGAGAAGCAGGTCAGGTATCTGTAATTGATCACTAGCTTCCTTTGTAAAAGATTTGATGGCACTTCACCCTAGCCAGTGACTGAAATAAAAGAGGAAGTTGAGAAACCTCACGGAAAAGGGAGAGATTATTCTACAGAAGAGCTGAGTGCGGGGGGGGGGGGGCAGAGAAGAAAACCCATCTGTGTCCTCCGGAGCCTTCTTATCTGGGGAGCAAAACTCTAGGTGAGATCATATCACTTACCTTACAAGTGGCGCACTCATGAATGTGATGAGCCAATCCTTGATCCCAGGGGCAGGTCTGAGGCCACTCTGAGGACAAGCCCAGCACTCCTACTTCCTCACAGGAGAGGAGAGGTGGGAAGAGAGAGGACATAGGGTCGCTAGGTCCCTCCTTGATGTGTGCTCACTGGTAACCCCTCCTGCCTTTGGGGAGACGGAGGTCCATCCATCAACTCCTCACCCTGCCTTAGCTCTTACGTGAGCTCTGCCACATCTGAGGTTCTGCAGGAGTACTCACGGAAAGAAGACACAGGCCATCCTTTGATTTCCCAAACCCTGAGGAAGCTTTCTCAACACACTGCCTACCAAAGGGTAGAGAGGACACAACCTCTCTGACAGAGATAGTCTTACTTTTCTAAGGAAGGAAGGAAGGAAGGAAGGAAGGAAGGAAGGAAGGAAGGAAG